ATGAGCTCTACATATATATATATATATATATATATATATATATATATATATATTTCCACACTTCCCGAATTTCATTAAACAGCACAAGCATTTTTAACTAATAAGAATACAGTAAGAAGAAATGTTTCTTGAGTGCCAAATTACCATATTAGAATAATTTCTAAAGGAAATATATATTTACTATATTAGTATTTTAGTCTGTATTTTTGGTCAAATAAATGCAGCTTTGGTGAGCAAAAGAAACTTCTTTCAAAAGCACAAAATTTTGAAGTATATATTTCTGTCTGAATGGCTTTGGAAAACTTATAGCATATAAGAAACTTGTCATGGTCATATTTGGTCACTAAGAACGGTTGTTGAAGATTCTTCCAAATATCATATTAAACAAAATATCACATTAAGAAAGTTGTACAAGTTTGGAAATGACATGAGGGTGAGTAAATAAAGGAAAGAAAGGAACAGGTTGCACAAAAGTAATTACTGCCTTTGTTCTCTTATACACTACAAACTTAGTAGCTGTAGATAAAGTAAAATAACTGTGAGGCAAAATTGATATGTTTGTGGGAAGCAAACAAGCCTCTTCCTCGTGAAATCAATAAAGGCATGAGTGTTTGTATTTTCTCTAAAATCGCAAGCCCGCCCACTCATGAAGACATGAAGTCCAGATTGATTTTCTGTCCACTACTTCTGTTTGTTCCAGCCTCCCCTTTTCACCAAGCTCCTGCTTTTCCTGTCCGTCTTAGAAAACCAAATCTTAATCACTTTAGCCCTCGAGACAGAGGGGTGTGGTAGGGGTCAGGGGCCGCCTTCCTAGCTTGTGATTTCCTTGCATACTTTGGCATTTCGATATCCTGGTTTTCACCTAACCAAGCGCTCCATTGATTCCCAATACATAGCTTTGAACTCTCCGTGCCCTGCTCTATTTCCTCAGAAACTGTAAAGATTTTTGGCGCTCCTGTGAGCGTTTGATTTGAAGGGCTGTCCTCCTCCCCTGGGCTTCAATTGGTTTACTGAAGACTGCGTCTGAGAGAAGAGGTAGAGGACGTAAAGTTCTGCCGGCGTTCTTATCCTAGACTTAACTAATGGTCACCTACGCATGGTGACCTTGTCCTGGACATCTGCTGGAGAGAGAGAAAGAGGGCGCCCTGCCAAACGCTTTGCTACTAATTAATTCACTATTGTCTGCTTTGTAAACGGAAACCAGTTTGGCTCTAGCTTCAACACAGAGTTTCGCGCACGCAATCTGGATATACATTTCTCGGAGGTGGTGACCTTGTGCTGTTTATTGACTTTCCAAGGTTGTGTGAGTGTGTGTTCGATTTCCAGGTCATTCAGTCTGAGGTTTTTTTCAGGGCACCAATATTATTTACCTGAATAAGGTATCAAACGATCTACATGCTGACCACGAGCTGTTTATGAATTTGACATTGATATGATCCAGTTCATGCTAAACTCAACTCACTCATCTACAAAAACAATATAAAGAGGACAACATGGACAACTCATGGAAAAATACGGCTTTAAGAATGGAAGTCCCACCTTTCAATTAAAAACAGCCAATGAGGGTTTTTGTTGAGTGATTTGTAAAAAAGGCGCTAAATTTATGATGCCATATTATTTCAGATTTTTATGGAAGCCTCTTTCTGCTTCAGAGTAAAAAAATCTGAGTTTAAAATAGAAATAAAGTCTCATTGTGAGATACAAATTTGTAGTTACAAAATATAAAGTCACATTGCAAGATATGAAGCTGCAACTACTAGAAACAAAGTAACAATTATAAGATGTAAACTATTTGTCGCAATGGGACTTATATTTTGAGATATAAATTTGCAATTGCAAGATGTAAAGTCACATTGCAAGATATGAAGTTGCAACTGCTAGAGACTTTTTGCTAGAGACAAAATTGTGACAAATTTGTTTGAGAAATAGTAAATTTTTTAAGTGAGATATAAATTTGTAATTATGAAATATTAAGTCACATTGTGAAATACAAAAGTTGCAACTGAAACAAAGTTCCCAGATAGCACACATATGTCTGCAAGAACTCAGTTCTTCATCTGAAAAGCATCTGATAGACATATTTAAGATGTCAATTTTACATACATTCTAAATCATAAACATCTTAAAGACATCTTCTAAACGTCTATTTGACATCTGATAGGAAACGTCATATTGACGTATTGCAGATGAGCAAACACTAAAAAAAACACAAAAAAAAATATGTCTTGTAGATGTAAATGCAGACGTCAGATAGACATCTTCGTGATTTACGTGTGCTATCGGGGTTGCAATTACGAGATATAAAATCATATTGTGACAAAATTGTGTTTACGAGAAGTGTCACAATTGTCGCAATTACTGTTATATGTGTATTTTTATACTCTAACATATACACAGACTTGACAGATTTGACATGTAAGTTTAACAAACACTTGAAATTTTGTGTCATTCTTAATAAAGTAGATGTACTGTAGGTGCAGGTAGAAATTAGCTGCCCAATGGCAATAGCAAGATGGCTGCCGAGTGAACTGTTTTGCTGTAAAATGACTGTTTTCTATCACAAACCAGTCAATCAAGCTTTCACTGTAGTTTATTTCAAAATGTTATTCAATTCATTTATAACAAGGAATGAGAGTGTCCTCTACCACCCAAGGCTACATGTTAGCTTCACATGCTAGCTTGTTTATATGGCTGCTGTCTGCACTGCTTTTGCTGAGTAATTAATTCCTTTTGACTGGTAATGAGAGTGTCATCAAAGCATTCACTGACATTTTCTCATTGGGTACGTCGTTCTTGTTAACTGTCTCTCTCTTGTTCCCTCCCATTCACTGTCTTCAGACTTTATTTCTCTCAGGTTCACCCCCCTTTTTCTATATCTTCCTTGTCCCTTCAAAGCGCTTAGCCAGACCACCTGGGGACAGAGACAGACAGTTTCAGATTTAGTTGCATCTCAGTTGCCACAGGCAGGCGCCTTCAACTATGATAGCTTTCTGCCTCTCTTTCGGTTTTCCGAGGGCAACTCAAAGACTAATAGGCTTTGAATCATCCCTTTGTTTCACTGTCTGTCTGGTCTTGTTCAACAAATAAGAGTGGTGTCATAAATTTGGCTGCAATTTTGAGAGAAATACAGCATGTAACCAATAAAGGGTGGATAGTAGTCATAGTCTAAAATTCTGTCCGCATTTACTGATACTTACATTGAATAAGTAAGTAAATTATAACAAATTTTTCATTTATGTTAACTATTTTTTAACTCAGAATGTTGGGTAATCATTCCACAATGTTTTTTGCAATATACATGAGACTAGTTTTTTGTCTTCAAATCGTAGATCAAGTCAAAAACAGTTACTACATTGGTCTGGATGGCTCCTTGCGTCTGGTATTGGCCAATGGCATGGAAGTGTCTCTTCACACGGAGCCTCACCTGCTGTCAGGAACAGTCAACCCAACCATAAGCAAGAGAAATGTCACTCTGCCCATCGACAATGGACTCAACCTGGTGGAATGGAGACAACGGAAAGAACAGGCACGAGGACAGGTCACAGTGTATGGACGCAGACTCAGGGTAAGAACATCAAGTTTTATTTTCACATTTAATAATACTACTACATTTGAGTTTTGTACTCTTACATGAATTTCAGAGTCTAATTATTTCTAAAAAGCTGGCAGTTCTGTGCTGTTATTGGAAAAGGTGGTAAAAGCAAAGAAGATTTTTTTTTTTAATCAAGACCACATAGCCATTTTAGCTCAAATGTCACTAGAGAGCATGTGGAAGTATTTTAGACAAAGTTAAGAAATAATTATGAGACGTATGAGGCCCACTAGTAGCACATCCAAGGCCAAATTGTCAGAAATTAATTCAAAAGCTACTATTTATGCTGTTGATAAGCTGTTTATTCATTTGGAAAATGCTTTTATCCCAAGCAATTTACAGAAAAATACATTAATTAATTAATAAATATATCTAATCTTGTAAATTGTGTTTCTGAATATGATCTAATGTCACAAAATTCAGAAAGAATTCTATAGAAAACACCTTGAATCTGAAAAAAAACTAAACTGTGAAATTGAAATTTATGCAGTTACGTTGTCGGTGTACTTTGAAAGTACTGTGAAGTTTGATTGACTTTGTAAGTGGTTCATATTTTATATTGTTTTGTAATATTAATTTATGATTTTATGATTAAATAATAAATATCAGTAACAATAATTGACTAATAATTTGTTGAAATACTTTTAAAACTAAGATTAATTATTCATTATTCATATTGCCTAATCTTTGCATTTTGCATTTGTATTTTATTTTTATTCATCAAATAGAAATTATCATTGTGTTTTGTGACATTTACTGTACAACCTACCTGTCATCAGAACCTCACATAGTCAGGTAATTGTGCACAGACCCTAGCGTTACCTCAACGTTGTCATCTGCTCATCCTGAGTTCATTTTACACAGGCACAGTTCCATACCTTGCAGTCACACCTCTCAGTGGTCTATCCATCATTCAGCAGCTCTCTGACCCTGAGGGCTGAGGTCAGGGTTGACTCTCTCATGATCTTTAAAACCCTGAGGGTTTCCTCAGACAGCACCTGATATCTTCATAATTCTTGTGCAACCAGTAATGGGACCACCTCACAGCTTTTGCAAGATGATATATGTGCATATATACACACTACCATTTAAAACTTTTGGGGTCAGTAATTATTATTTTTTTAATCGTTTTGTCCTTCTTTTCAGCAAGGATGCATTAATTTGATCAAAAGTGATAATAAAGATTTATATTAAAATATTTCTATTTCAAATTGCAGTTATTTTGAACTTTCTATTCATCAAAGAATCCTGAAAAAAATGTATCATGGTTTTCAAAAAAATATTAAGCAGCACAAATCTTCTTAACAGTGATAATAAAAAGAAATATGTATTGAGCACCAAGCAGATTTAGATTTTTGAAGGATCATGTGACACTGATATAATGCAATTATTAATGACCAAGATGGTGGCGCGTACACATCGCGAGGCTCAGCGTCTCTCCAGTTTTTGCAATTTTGTAGTATTTTTCCTGCTCATCTCGGGCCTGTTCGCACTGAACAGCTTTGCTTTAACATCCTACACCCGACAGGAGCTTTTGGATATTGGTGTGCACTTTTCCAACAGTTTTATCACCAATCCTCGACTCATCCCTGAGATCTCCAGACCACCCGAGGCTACGCACTCTACCCGGCCGGGCGGAAGTGCTCGCAGGCGGCGTCGTGATCGTAACCAACGGCGGGGTCAGCAGTAGGCACACCGTGACAGAATACCGGACCAAAACAGTGAGCGGCGCCTCTTCTCCCCGTGTTTTTGTTTTCCCGTTTGTTTCTCCCTGCGTCATGGAAATCGCCACTCGTTTTATTGCTCTAGCCCGTAGAGATCTCCCCTTCTTTGAGTACGCCTGGGAGTTCTGCGGGCTCGCCGTGGCGACGGCATTGGATGACGCCACCATCAATTCTCTGTTCTGGCTCGGGGCCAACTACCATCGCCCCATGGACCTCCCAGACACCAAGGGACTATGCTGGAAGGAAGGGATCTCTACCGGTGTCTGGGGAGTGTCCAGGCCCAGGCCAGAACCAGCCCGCTGGCCGTTCCGAAGACAAGACCGCCAGCCGTGGCACTCTCCAGCCCGCCGGCCGTTCCGAATCCAAGCCCGCCAGCTGTGGCTCTCTCCAGCCCGCTGGCCGCGGCACTCTCCAGCCCACCGACCACGCGTTTCAACCCCGAACCTAAAGGGGAATCGAAGGAGGAGAAGGTGGTCGGCTCCAGCCCCAGAGCTCGCTCCAGTGTGGGCTCCAGCCCCTGAATCCAGCCCAAATAGGGCTCCAGTTTCTCAGTTTAGCCCACGGAGGGCTCCTGTTTCTGAGTTTAGCCCACGGAGGGCTCCTGTTCCTGAGTTTAGCCCACGGAGGGCTCCTGTCCCCGAGTTTAGCCCAGAG